ATTATGTTATTTCACAAAATTTATTGCATTCTTGAAATGTCTCTCTCTCTCTCTCTCTCTCTCTCTCAGATAATGTGATTTCTGTCGCTTGATTTCAATGAGACATCAAATTTATAATTAAATTAATGTGTTTTTTGAAGCATTATTTCCCATTTAATTAATAATATTCCTGATAATTGTAAATAAAAGAATAAATTCTTTGATAATAGTATGCATTTCACACATCCGGATAATGATTAACAAAAATATTATGATATTAATTATTGAAAATATAATAATCATAAAAGTTACCATAAGTTAGAGATTATGCCAATTTACATTATTAATAATTTAGATATTTTAGATTATTAATTATGTTATTTCACAAAATTTATTGCATTCTTGAAATGTCTCTCTCTCTCTCTCTCTCTCTCTCTCTCTCGTAAAAATATTTGTTTTGTGTAAACATTGAAATATATAATTATATTAACAAAATAATTTTAATCTCTAATTAATAAACTAATAAAGTATTGTCGGTTGCAATAATTTGGGAAAAATTGAAAATAAATCAGACAATTGTTTCAACAAAATAACGATTAAATAATTGCAAAACTATTTATGAATTTTTACTTTTTATCGCCGAAACCCTTCACTCGAGTAGTTCTCGACGTTACAAATGACTGATAAATAATGTTTTATAAATAAAAAATATCATTATATTTGAAGTTTTTAACAAATTTTCAAATCAGAAAACTACTTATTAACCAATAGTTAGTTTCCAAGTTTTGTCGGTGTAGAATTCAGCAATATCCTATAGGTATTGCATGAGATAGTTGCAATTAAATTCTTGTAATGAAACTTTGAGACCTTAATGAAAAATGTCATATAAGGCACTTTACAAAGCACTGTACTCTTTATCGCCGTTTAATGTTTTATTATACTTTAATGTTGTAATAGTGTTGACAAAGTTATTTCAATAATACTTTGGGCATAAAGTAATCTAAATTTTTAAAATAAATTACTTTGTTATAAATATTACAAGTCATTCACTATACATAGATCCCAACTGTTAGAAAAGTTGGATCTACCATGGTGATGTAGTATTGTACAGTAAAACAAAGTGTATAACTAGTGCATTTACTGTTCAAACACATAAATTGTTAGCTAAAGTTTTAGTTATATAATAAAATTATAGTTTAGTTTAGTGATATTTTGCAAAAATATTTTGACAATACAAATTGTAAATTAATTTATTTAAATGAGTTTATAGTATTAATTAAAACATAATGTTAGATTATTATAAAATAATAAAACAACATTCTATGACATAGAATCTATGTAATAAGTTTAATAAGGTTTAATAATGATACAATGTACATAAATATACCCGATAGTTATTTAATAAACACATACAAATATTTTAGTAGCTACTTTATTAATACAAATAGGATCAAAATACAAGTATCACGATTATTTTTAAAAATTATTTTGAATTAAATAAACAATAATTTAAATCATGATTGATCACTTACTTAAAAGTATTATAATAAATTATTTATTTAATAATACTTTTATATTTCTGTACATTTAAGTCCAAAACACTTCAAATATACAAAATACAAAATCAAAAATAAAAGTTGTAGTTTATGTAAACATTTAAAAAATAATAAATGCAAAAGTTTAAGCATAAATCAATAGTGTACTCATCCTAATCATAAAGGTTGAGTTGTTTTATTAATTTATGACCAAGCACATGTTGACCATGCATATTTTATTTATATTGAAAGCCACATGTTTTATAATTATTGTATTTGAGCATAAAATGTATAGAAAGTGTGTTTCATTAGGGATTAAGACATGGATTAAGGATTAAAATGGGAAATACAATGAATATGAGTGCATGTATCAAACGTGTGGCATCATTCATATGTAAAACTGATGATCAACTTATCTGAAAATCATTTCTCTGAATGTACTAAAACTGTGTATTTATTTTTGTAAAATTACTAATTATTGAACTATATTTTGTGTGCCATTAGTTTACTTGAAATAATTGCAAAACATGTTTAGCGTTTTAATCAATTATAATAATCATAATTATTGTATTACATTTGAGAGTCAATTATGTCAAAACCCATTCATTATAATATACACTGAATTTATAAAACAAACAAAACTCAACGTTTGTGCCGACGATCACGTTTTCGAGGTTAGTATGAAATGATCACTAATTAATTCAATTAAAAAATGTTGACCTCATTCATCCCAATAGATATTTAACAATGATTTTAATACCTATTGTGTAATAACGAGTGGCGATCACATGATTAACAATTTATCGCGGATTAGGATTAGTCCGCAAAACAGCCACAGATTCGGTGATAATAAAGCACTCGATGGTGGAAATGGATCCGTTGATTACAATATCTACAAACAATTGACCGCCGATCAAAATACCATCACTTCTGGCGATGAGTTGATCCAATCGTTGTCCATCGGTGTCAGCAAAAGCTGGAAATGGTTTCAGGAATCGGTCAAAGGATCGCACGACTCGGCCATCGACTCGGATTCGGTTACCATTAGTTCGCTGAGCGGCGCCGACAACAGGTGTCCACCGGTCGCACCACTCATACCACTCACACCCGGCGCTCACCCATCGCTGCCCATTAACTATATGCACATTGAACTGAACGCCGAGTGCCGTAGAAATGCCAGTTCCCCGCACTTGCCGTACCGGACCCTTACGATCGCTGTCCGTAATGTTTGGGTGATTGCTGTCGAGTATGAGTGCGGAGAGCGCCGGGCGATAGAGTTATTGGTCGACTGTTTGAAAGATTGTCCGCTACAAAGACAATGGATGGATCAGATGAGGAGATATGGGTTTATCTATACAACGATTGATAATTTGAGAAATCTTTGGGCCAATTCACTCGATCACTATATAAGGGTCTCTCTCTCTCTCTCTCTCTCTCTCTCTCTCTATGAATTGTTAATCAAATAATGATTTATATTATGTTTAGTGTTTAAAGACATGTCCAGACGTCGAGACGGCCGCTACAGTGAATCCACTGTTTAATACAATGCATAGAAATTTTATACCAAAAACGGACAAAACAACTGAATTGCAACGTTTGAGACAAGAATTTGAGATGAGATGTGTTTCGCAGCAAAACAATCCGCAGACAATTGAATGCACAGATTCTGTGAAAGTTTTAACAGGTATTTAATTTCCAGAATATTCTGTATAAATAATTGTTTATTATTTGGGTATAGATTTGGAAACGGCATTGAAGTGCATGTTTAACAACATCAATGTCAAGATCGGCGACAACACACTCACAGACCTATCGATGCCTATAAACATATTGGGTATTAAACTGAATGACAATTTTGACACAAATCTCTGCTCCCATTATCTGCCGTATAAGACATACGCGCTTAAGATAAACACCAAACTCTCGTATGTGGCCATAAAGTACAGGTGCGAAGTGGAACCGGCGGTCCATAAACTCCTGGACCTATTGAATCGGCACCGCTTTTACATGAAGGTGAATGGCATCGATGGCTGGGATCTGATTGCACAGCATATGATTGCCAACGAGTTTAGCGACTGGTATCGAGAAAAGTGTTGGAATTGTTTTATACAGGCATTAACTATGTATAAAAAGGTAAATTTAATTTTGTAAACATTATTATTATTTATAAACTTAAGAAAATTAATTTTATAATTACTTTATTCTATAACAATAGTTTATATTTGTTTTAATCATTTCAGACATTGAAAAACTGCAGCAATAAAGAAGTGGCAAATCTGGTGAACCCGTTGTTTAACATATTTCACACATTTGACATGAATTATATTATTAATGATATCAAATTTAATGAGATTTTATTATTACGCAAATTATTTGAAGATAATTGTAATAAGTTGTGAATTGATTATTTATTTAATTTTATTTAGCATCATAATAATTAACATAATAATTTTGTTACATCCAAATATGTTAAATAATATAAACTGATTATTACGAAACATTTATTCAGTACATTGCGGTCGGTTTTTAAGACATTATTAAATATAAATAAATAGGACTGTAATTTAATATTTAATATTGTAAGTGTTATTTCGTTTTTATAATAAAATTATTTAATTAAAGGTAAAAGGAATTAATTTATCAAGAACTTAGATTTTGCTGATTAAATTACCCAGGACCATTTGGTGAATCGGCCAGATTTCTACCAACTAACTTTATTCCATAATCACTCGCTGATTGATCACGATGTTTATGTATCATCAGCAAACCTGGTGCTAATATTGAACATTTAAATTTATAAATTATTTAATCACAAATTTTAATGCAATACTTACTTCTCTTATTAAAATATTTTAATTTATTGAGCTTGTTTAATTTTACAGAATTTGTTAAACTAACAGAATTAATAGGCGGCATAATAATATCAGCATTATAAATTGTATCACACAATAATAAAATAATATTAAGTATAAGCACTCTGTTTAATAACACCATGATTGTTAAATTTTAATTAACAATTATAACAATAATCAATTGACACAACATTTAATGAGAATATAAGTGCCTTTAAATACTATTATAATGTACAATAAAAGGCAATATAAATATGAATAATTGTCGTTGAATTAGCAAATAATTGATTAGGAAATACATAATAAAAATTATTATAGAAATGTTTAAAAATACAAACTTAAAGGAAATTAATTTTATAGGAAATGCTTTTATGGTTTTTTTGTCTAAATTTTTTCATCATTTAAACGTTTATGTATTTCATAATTATAATACTTTCTTATTTAGACATTGATTTAATAATACCACAATTCAATTGCAATATTGGCCTTTATGTTAGAAAAAACCATAAAAATACAAATATTTTACATATAAAACATAGAAAATCATTAAAAAAAATAATAAAAGTAAAAAATAAGTAAAAATACAAACAAAATCTCAAACACTATCACTAAAGGGTCGGGTTTCGACCACTTTTACCACACTTTCGGTCAAATCCGGCGATAATTGATGTCTCCGGTAGTCCTCTTGAGTCCAATTGGCGGTAATCTTCAGACATTTCTTTCGGTGCAAATTGAGACCCCTTTTGGACATATAAGTGATGCCACAATCGGCGCATTGAAACACCGGCTTTAAATGTATGCCTTCCACGTGTTGTTGATAAATGTCCGGCCGTTTGAACCGCCGATCGCAGCCCTCAATAAAGCATACATACTGTCCTACACTGAGATCCAGGGCCTGTGTCGGCACCTCCGGGCCCACAGCCACACCAGTGGCTGATTGCTGACACCCGTTGTTGTCGTCCGTTTGACTGTTCATCGGATGGTCGCCGTCGACACTACTGTCCACCCCATCGACCGATTCAAAGCCCGGACCCAATGTAGTGATTATGTCGTGAATCTCTTCCCGAGTCAATAGTTTTTTATATAATAATAATGACATTAAGATCTCGCGTTTGCTCATAATTATAGTGATTTAAAAGCGATTTATTTGCTAAAAGTGTAGTTAAAATATATTACAAACTCAATTAAAAGTGTTTATTGTAATAATATACTGTAGGTATTTAATGAACATGTGTTCATACAATTGAAAATGTTACAATGAATGAATTATTTGTTGAACACATTGTCTGAAAATCTATCGCTTTTAGTAAACTGTTAAACATTTATCAAAATTTTATTTTTGATTCAAAATATGAGTTTCATATCCAATGAATATAAAGTCTATCAAAATTATTTGTTTTAAAATACTGATAATAGGATTAAGATAATACAAGGGTGTGAACAAAACTATGAACACAAATGACAAAACAAATTAAAAATAATTTTAGTAATTTTACATTTGACAAACAACTATCACATTTTATAATTTATTTGCAACACCTGACAAAAAATGATTGGAAAATTACTTCAAAACATTTCTAAATGAACATGAATTAAATGGAAATTTGTTTATAATTTTCTATTCATATAAAAATGTTTAGCAAAATGAAAATACATAATATGTTATATAATAAAATAGGTTCAAAAGCATACAAAATGACATAAATGTAGGGAATATTGTGCTTTCAATCCGAGTGCTTATTCTTGACGTGACGGCTAAAGAAGCCAATAGTAGTGTATTGTTTATTACAGCCATTGATAAAACACGTGTACAACTTGGGGCCACCGCTCACATCGGGCATCGGTTGGCCATCACCGCCACCGCATTCGGCCACCCCTTCCGGGTCGGGTTCGCCCGGTTTGGCGGCCGTAGTGTTGGCATAACTATCGCTAGCGTTTGAGTGACGGGTAATGTTGTGAAGTTTAAGTCTCATTAACGACGTGAACG